ACATGCATGCTTTCATTGTTTCCACCATAGAAAAAGGAGTTGCCACTGTACGTTTTATTTTAATAGTTTCTTTTGATACACGCAAATATTTAGCTATGTAAACATTGTTACAAACAAATCTTCTAGACGTAATATCGAGAGACCAGCTCAGCTAGCTGACCAATTAGAGCACAGCTGACCTGTCAGTGGGACACAGTGTTGCCGTTTGCAAGTATTTTACTCGAAAATCGGGTATTTTCGTAATATTTGCGGGTGATTTGCAAATTTCTATCGAAATAATAACAAAAGAAATTTTCAGTAAATAATATTGTATATTTACTAAATATGCACAATTATTTTATACTATCCTGTTACATTTTTATTATTATTTTAGTATTTTGTAATTTATGGTCAGGAACTTTTATGGCAACACTGTACGTAAACACGAAGATCAACCATGATACAAAGATCAAGATACATACACCTTAAGATATAGGATGGTGCGCTTGGTGGGCGGAGCTAAAATACGTCACATGACGTCACTTGATGAGTAGTTTTAAACCTCTAACGTTCGTTTTAATTATCTGCCGCTAAAATTCTGGTTTTTGCGAAGCTGTTAGATGTTAAATTGCTCTGTTTTTTGTTTAACTTGTTGTTTTTGCGTTCTGTAAGGTTAGAATTACTTTTCAGTGTTTAAATTATTGTTATTGCGTTGTGTTAACCTGTTCTGTTTGTGCTAAAATTATTGTTTTTGTGTTTCGTTGTTTTGTTTGTGTATTAGTTTGTGTTGTGCCATTTGCATTTATTAAAATGCGGTGTGCCATATTTGGATGCATTTCGGACAACCAGTCCACGAAAAACCCTACAAATAAAGACATTAAATTCCATCGATTTCCGAAAAACATAAGTTTGTGCAAAAAGTGGTTATATGCCATGAAAAGAAGAGACAAAATTAACGTTAAGCGCGTAACTGTTTGCTCTAAACATTTTCTGGACATTGACTACAACTTTAATTTGAAAGATAAACTCTTGAAGGTGGAAGTAGAAAAAGATAATTAATTTTAAGTGTTACGTATTGTGTAACAGGCTGAAGGACCCCGTATGTATATTTTGTACCTATTTTATGTTTTTATAGTACTCAGTATGCCATAAAAACTTTATTTATTTATTTTATTTAATTTGTTTATATATTTTTAATTTATTGGTATTCTTTGTTGTATTTATTTAAATAAAAAATTTAACATTTTAAGACATTTTATTTATTGAAAGTGTAAGGCACAAATATGAAAAATACCAAATTTCTACAAACTTTTAAGATTAACATAAGTATAAAAAACGTCAGGTGAGTTAAGGACCCTCTGTGCCTTTTTAAAAACATTAGTTTGAATTTATTAAGTCAAACTAATTTTTTTTTTAAATATTAACAAAAGGTTTAGAATAAATCAATATAAAAATAAAAAATCCCAGTAATTTATAAAATTTTTCCGGTTATTTTCGTAGGTAATTTAAATTTAAATAAATATGTTTGGTTAAAATTATATGTATTTTCTTTTAGTAATAAAAAAATACATTTTAATAGATTTAAATATGTTTCCAAAACATAGCATCTATATTATTACACTATGGTAATTAAGGTGGGTCAAAAAAATCGACTATTTTTATTTTGACTTCTGCCACTGAAAAATCGGTTTCTGGGCACCTTCAAAACATGCTTAGCAACGATGAGCTCTTAACTTTGATGGGAAAATCCGCCTCATTACAGTTTTGAATACTTTTCTTAGTCCCCTACAAAAAAATTCATATCTCATCATTCGTTAATCATACAGCAAAACTCTAAAGGAGTTATTTGTAGAAAATTAAATGTTCTACAAAAAAGATTTCCTATACTTTTTTGATCAATCTAACTATTAAAGAGATATTCAAGGTCAAAGATTGAAGAATTTTAAGAAAGATAACTTTTCTGTTCTGAATTTTGTAACTTACTAAAAAAAAATTATCGACAATTGAGATTTTACTATGTCTATCGGAAATTGAACGCTCTACAAAAAAGGTCTCTTAGGATTTATCGATTACTCTAACCAATCAAAAGAAATTCGCATTGGAATATCAGTGCACACATCAATTGCAAAAAGAAAGTTTTTAATTTCAAATTTTGTAGAAAAAGAAATATGAGTTACATATTAGATAAGTTACATATTGAATAAGTTACATACTATTATTAGATAAATCCGTTAAAATAAATAAACGAACCTAAACCGTGATAAGAGTGAAAGTATAGAAAAAAATTATTGTTAAGCAATTGATTGAAAGCAATACATTTTTAAACAAAAGATAAGACATAATTTGGGAACTGACATTTCATCAAGATGAACTTAAATTTTATGAATTATCTCAAAATTGGAAAAAATCATTAAAAAACTATGAATAGCAGTATGCACTGACATTCCAGTGCGAATATCTTCTGATTGGTTAGAGACTAACTTAGAGTAATCGATAAATCCTAAGAGACCTTTTTTGTAGAGCGTTCAATTTCCGATAGACATAGTAAAATCTCAATTGTCGATCATTTTTTTTAGTAAGTTAAAAAATACAGAACAGAAAAGTTATCTTTCTTAAAATTCTTCAATCTTTGACCTTGAATATCTCTTTAATAGTTAGATTGATCAAAAAAGTATAAAAAATCTTTTTTGTAGAACATTTAATTTTCTACAAATAACTCCTTTACAGTTTTGCTGTATGATTAAGGAATGATGAGATATGAATTTTTTTGTAGGGGACTAAGAAAAATATGCAAAACTGTAATGAGGCGGATCTTCCCATCAAAGTTAAGAGCTCATCGTTGCTAAGCATGTTTTGAAGGTGCCCAGAAACCGATTTTTCAGTGGCAGAAGTCAAAATAAAAATAGTCGATTTTTTTGACCCACCCTAATGGTAATATGGTAATAAACATTTTTAATTAATTTTTCTTTTTCTTTTAATAATTAATACCTATAAAAAGTAATAAAAAATAGATTTACTTAAAACTATTGTTTTCTTTTAATTAATTTTTTTTTTAATTAGATTAAATAGTGTCAAATATTTTTCCAACGCATCTTGCATCCATATTAATAAACTATCTTTAATATCAAATTCACAAAAACGCACTATGTCCAGATATTTCTTTATGTTTTGATAATATTACTAGCATCCATATTAATAAAATACTTTTAATATCAAATTTACAACAAAAAATAGATTTAAATAGTATCAAATATTTTTCCAAATCATCTATCATCCATATTATAACACTTTTTTCAATATCAAGTTTAAAAATAACGCACTATGTCCAGATATTTGTCTATTTTCTTTGATAATATAGCTATTATACGTGTATTCGCGCTGCAACTACTCATCAGGTGACGTCATGCGCGGCGCGAACCAAAACTCGTCCGCGGAAGCATCCAGCCCTGTACAAAGATGAATGAAACACGAAGATCAACCATATTTGTCTTATGAGTCTATCGAAAATATCATGTCTATAGACATGATATTAACTCCTTTTTCTATGGTGAAAACAATGAAAGCATCTCAAACGCATCGTATGTATAAAACTATAATTGTTATAATTATTACATCTTACCTATGTTATTATATAGGTAATTATGCAATAAACTTGGCTTATAACAACAGCAAAAATGTTAATAAATACCTTTCTATGTGTTTTATTTTACGATAACCAAATTCAACCTCTATGAATTATTTCGGATATTTATTTTTATCGCCATAGGTACCTACCATTTCTCTACTAAAAGTCTTATTAAGTCTTAAAAAGTCTTATTAACTCTTCCAGAAGACTCCCAAATCTTGCTATTAGTCTGACTTAATAAGACTTATTCAGACTTTTCCCGACTTAATAAGTCTTATTCTGACTTTTTCCGACTTAATAAGTATTATTCAGACTTTTTCAGAGAAAGTAAGACTCTCTCAGAGAAAAATTTCCACAAGGGTAACCTTCAGAACAATACGCGACGTGGTAGATATCCGCTGATTGAGGGCTTTAGGGTTATCGACCTCCAGCACCGAAAAAAATATATTCGTAGAGTTAACATTTGCCTAAATGTCATTTCTGAAAATGTTGTTTCAACAAAAAACCTATTGGATTAATCTATATTTTGGTGTCAAAGCAATAGTCAGAGTTTGTCAAAGTTTATTTGTTCATTTGACAATTTAAAATATTGATCTTACATGAACTCATTGTTTGAATTAAAGTTTTTATCCTATTTTGATTTAATAGCTGGAATTGGTTAAATCAAATACTAAAATTGTTGGGATTACCTAAAAAAACTATTAGATTAACGTTTAGTTGCTGTTTAATCCACAACATTAAATTTGTTCATTTAACAAATTGTAAATGTTATTTTAAAATTTAAAATGTTAAATTTGCATTCATAAAGTTGCCTTAACACTCTAAGAATGTTAAATTAACAAAATTAGCAGATTGGAACAAATATCCTAATTTTGTTCATTTGACTGTTATTTGTTGTTCAATTAAACAATACAATTTGACATTTTTAGATGGTTAAGTAAACGTGCAAAAACCATTGCTTGTATTTAAAGTGCATAAAGAGTTTAATTAATATTTTTTTTGTTGTTTCAACAGCTTATTTTTTTCAGTGAGGATTATCTCCAACCAAACTTTCAAACATCGCCTTCAAATCCACCGTAGTACTAAACCCATGGTGCTGCAGGTCTTTCTATTCACTTTATCTTTTTGTTTGTTACTATTTTTCCAATTTTTTAAGGGTGTTTTTTGAATTTATTTTTCCCCCGAAATAGGACAGGCTGAGCATTTTAGAAATGTTGACTATGCACCTACTTGCTTTGCTGTTCTTAACCAGTGGAAGAAAAAACAACGATCTTCGTTTGCAAATGCAATCCCTATGGCTTGATCTGATCCAGGAGAACATGACGTTAACAATTGTTATACAAAAACTTAATTTATTGCATATATGCGATAAATTAAGTTTTGCCATAGCAATGCAATGACTCTGGCTTCGGAATTAAATAGCGTCCACTTATTGGCACCGGGTGTTAAAATAACCTCGTACAGACACCGTCAAGATCCATACAGGCCGTATTTCATGCTTTTGGAAGATGCAACATATTCCTATTGCCAAGACATTCCAGGTTTGAGGAGGAAATGGGAATATGCAATGAAATTAATATTAGAATGTATTAACTATGATGAACACAACTGGAGCGTAAACTGCGATTTTAAGGTGTTATCGTTGTTAGCGGGAATGCAGACCGGCTACACAAAATACTGTTGTGTTTTCTGTAAATGGGACAGCCGTGCAAAACGCAACCACTACGAAAAACGTTATTAGCCGCAACCCGATAAACTGGTGGATAGTCAATTTTATGTCGTGAATCCACCTTTAATTACACTCGAAAGAATTATATTGCCGGATCTTCATATTAAACTGGGCATTGTGAAGAATTTTATTCCACTCATTACTTTATGGACCAATCAGATTTCAGAAAACGAGTGGTTTTTTCAGTTTTGCAGCGATAAAACTACTATTTGGGTGAAAAAACCACTCGTTTATACGAGTTGCATGGCAACCAATTGGTTGCGTAAAAATCAAAAATTTTATCGTAAGTAATATCATAAGGGCATCTAATTTTTCCGAAAAAAATCGAAAAAACACGTTGCTAAGTAATATTTTAACAAGAAGCATGAGTGCTGGTGGCAACAAAAATCCGAGTCGAAGACGAGGACTTTTGCACCTGCACGAATGCATTTTGTTAAAAATTATTAGTTTTAAGTGTATGAATTAATCATCACATAAACATTATTTTTTAGAAAAACAAAAAACGGTCAAAAGCCTTTAAAGAAAGGTCAGCACCGCTCATAGAAGACGATGGTGGCAATTCTGCTGACAAGGTAACGTTTATAGATTTATAATTTGCGAGACAAAAATTAGGCAAATATAGTAATATAGTTTACCATTAATTTATTACCACAACATGATATATTTCTTAAATTGTTTTCCAGACTCCGAGTAATAAGTTTGGCTACGACATTTCCGGAAAAGAAAATTGTACGCAACCAAGCAGTTTAAAGGTGATAAGTACGCCGAATAACAGGCTTGTCGATGAAAATGCCGAAAAAGAAAATTCTCCGCAACCAAGCACTTCCAAGGTGATTTATCATAATTTTAAATAAATTCAAATTAAAGGCAAATACTTACAATTTATTTTAAACAAACAGTTTATAAAAAGAAAGCAAAATAATAATTTATTTCATTATTTATTTCATACATTTGCTTTTAAACAGGAGAGTATGCCGAGTGACCCGCCAGTCAACAATATAGCTTTAATAGACGATGATGAAGAAGAAAATAATGTTCATTCACAGCAAAGCACTTCAAAGGTGATTTAAAATCTTCAAGTCTTTAATTTTAATTCACTTTACATATTATAATAAATCACTGATTTATTATAATATGTAAAGTGAATTAAAATTAAAGACAAATTTATTTGGGTCCCTTAGTGGTTAAACTAACATGAATTTTAGTTGATCTTTCTAAATAAGCCATTTAAAATAACATTATAGTACGACATTTTAAAAATAATATGTTTTTTTACATAAAAATGATGCTATTTAGAAACGATTTAGGGGGTTTAATTCATGTTATATTAAATACAATGATTTTTGCTCCATAGGGACTAAATGATGGTAATTAATTTAGTAATTGACATTTATATTTGCAGGATTCTGATAATGAACTGGATATAACATCCCTTCAAAGAAATTCTTTAAACTAATGAAAATGGCTTCGGAGGCAGTTTTAAAACAATCACCGGATTTAAATCAACCTGCCTCTTTTATGACGACAAAAGATGGAAAGGTAAGTCACGAGAGTTCCTCAAACGGTTGCAACAAATTTAAAACTATAATTATATTTTTCATAGGCACAAATTATTGAAGAATTTGCAATAGATTATAAATATGCATCCAAAATTGCAAGGGCCAAAACTCAAAGGCATAGACTTAATATTATAATTACCCAGTTTTGGCCGCAGGATGCCCTGGCGAAAATGAAATGTGCAAAAAGTGTGCAAAATTATTTGAGAACAATGTGCCAACAATCAGGGCCGGCCCGAGGTACGGGCGAACCGGGCAACAGCCCAGAGCGGCATAAGTGGGGGCGGCATTTTTACGATGTGTTAATGATAATCAATTTCATTTAATATATAAAAAAATTTCGACTGGCGATTTTTTTAAGAATTACGCTCGAGAAATAAAGATAATTTAATATCTTTGTTACAAACTCTCTAAAAATGAATTAGTCAAAAATGACTAATTCAATAGTTATTAGTGGCGGCTTTTTCACTTGTACCATGGTTAACCATGGAATACCATGGTATCCCAAAATTCATATGTAAAATTGTCCCCTGAATCCAAAAATACCGTCAAAAATTATGAAAGTGGGGCAGTTTTTGAGATATAGTCAATTCCATATTAAATGGAAAATTGACTCAAAAACTGTTCTACTTTTTTAACTTTTGACATTTTCGGATTCAGGAGACAATTTTACATAAGAATTGGCTGTTAAATTTTGGGATACCATATGGTATTCAATGGTTAACCATGGTACAACAAAAAAGCAGTCACTAATAACAATTATTATAACTAATTTAATAGTTAAGTAACTATTTAATATTTTTTTTTATATTTTATTTTTATTAACTAATAAATTAGTTATTTTTGACTAATTAATTTTTAGAGAGAAGATTTAATAGAGGCGCTCTCGGAAGACGACTCTGGCGCCCTTTTCATTCGTTTCTTCAATCACATCCTGTAGTTTTCTATACTTGTGTTTGACAATTGACAATTAATAATTGACAAATATTATATCACGATCGTGCGTTGTAAAATCAGTGCATTGCTAAGGTAGTTTGATAATTAGTACTAGCAGCAACCTTTTCCAAATTCTTGCAAAAAGAACCATCGTGGGCAGGTATAATAATTATACTATAATACTATATTGCATATATGAAAAAACATTGTTTTTAGAGGTCTAAAATCAATGATCTGATGTGCATCACAGCAGCATTCGGCTTTGCCAAAGTCCGCTAATCTCATTAAAAATAAAAAAACTGAAAAAAGTAATTACGTTAAACTACCTTTTTTCCTATTCCTGCTGAATAAAAAGGGGGCGGCAAAAATATCTTCGCCCGGGCCCCAAAAAACGTCGGGCCGGCCCTGCCAACAATGTGCAATCTTTTAAAAAAATGATGAGGGTGGGAAATGAAACAATGTGCAAAACCAAAAATTTTAAAAAGTAAATAATCACTGGACAATGTTCTAAAGGGAACTCCTTTTGATTTTTCACATTGTTTGCACACTGTTTTTGCCACCTGTGTGCCTATTACAAAAACAGATTCTTTTTGGTGACCTATAAAGTCTTTTAAATTTACACATAATTGAAATATAAATATCCTTATAATAATATTATTCAAATATATATTTTTTTCAACAAAATTTAAAAAAAAATACCCACAATGTAGGTCCATAATATCAATTAATACTGTTTATTGACTAATATTTTATTGGGACAACGATTTTTTCATTAATGTAAAGAAATGTTATGTACGGTATTTTATAAACTAATCACGTGGTTCATCATCATCATGAACTAGTAGTTATTGTAATAGTAATTAATTTTACATTAGTCAATGTATAATATTTATTTTGACAACAAATTTTTTATTAGTCCAGTAATCAATTTCATTAAATACATGAATTTGTTGATTAATTTGTATGAACAACTTTTATTAAATTGTTTCGTTATGATAATGTAATAAAGTATTAAATGATAATTTGTCCATTGTGTTAATGTTTTGCGATTAATTTCCGCAACGAACAAATAAAATGCTTGATTAAAAGTATACATTAAATTGACGAATGCATTCATTGAAATAATGTACTTGGTTCTAAATATAAAAATCACGGTATTAATGTACAGTATGCATCGATTAATGAAACGCATACTTTATATTAACAAACGCATTCATTGAATAAATGTACTGTCCTAACGATAAAACAATCATTGAATTAATGTACACAGTTAATGTTAATGTTAATTATATTAACGTACAACCAAACAAATGAAATATAATAAAAATTATTAATATTGTCTCAACGTAGGGATTAAATTGTTTTAATGAATGTTTACGTTGGAACAATAATAAGGACATGACAATTCTTGACAAGACGAGTTTGGGAACTAGCTCTGCTTAGTTTCCTTTATTTGAAAAATAGTGCGGGCATCAACTGCATGAAAGAGGATATTTCTTAGTACAGTGTATTTCTTAGTGACTGCCTTTATTTAAAAAAAAGGTAATTATAATTTAGTTTTTAAATATAATTTTGATAAACTGATTTATTAGTATTAGGCTTTACAGGTTTAAAAAACACTTATAGCGTCTTATCCTAAAGCGTAGAAAAACTAATTTAAATTTCGGATAGTTAGAGTCGAAACACGATGTTATGCTTTATTTGCAAATAAAATTAATTTCCTAAAATTACTTATATTGCATTTTAAACGAAATCAAGATCTTACCAAAAATTCAGTATTTAGATGTTTTGAAGATACCTAACTTACGCACCATATTGTATTTCTAATAAAAAATCAGACGATTGTGACATATTTATTTAATATATTAAATGAAACTCCTAAAGGTTCTATGCTTTTGGAATATTACAATACATTTTTAAAATTTCAAGATTAACAGCTAACCTCAAACTTGGTAGCGCAATTTATTAAAGTTAAAGGTGTTCCAATTACCTTAGCAATCAGTTATAGACCGAAAAGAGAAATTCTAGACAGATTTCCGACTGAAAAATTGGTATGTTTAGTGATCTTTAGTCTTTACGCCTTAAAAAGATTGTCACAAAATATTCTCTTTATATTTTAGGAGTACTATCGTTCCACCAAGAGAAGAAGAATATACAAGAAATTTTGCAATTTTTATAAACTAAGTCTGTGGTTGGTAAACATGTTGTTAAGTTATATTTGTATTGTTTAAAAAAAAATAAAAATAAAACAATAAATATATTTTTTTTTCAAGTCATTTCAAAAATTATTAGTATTTGCAAGTCTATGAAATTCATCATTAACATTGGCAAATTCACAGCAAAGCGCACATGCGGAAAATGACAGAAAAAATTTGTTGGTGTGGTGATCGAACCCACGTTAGGGTTTTTTTCTGTCTTTTCCAACTTGTCTCTAAAAATGAGTTAGTCAAAAATGACTAATTTAAAAGATATTAGTGGCTGCTTTTTCACTTGTACCATGGTTAACCATGAAATACCATAGTATCCCAAAATTTAATGGCCAATTCTTATGTAAAATTGTCCCCTGAATCTGAAAATGTTAAAAAAGTAAGACATTTTTTGAGATATAGTCAATTTTCCATTTAATATGGAATTAACTATATTTTAAAAACTGCTCCAGTTTCATAATTTTTGACGGTATTTTCGGATTCAGGGAACAATTTTACATATGAATTGGCTGTTAAATTTTGGGATACCATGGTATTCCATGGTTAATCATGGTACAAGTGAAAAAGCAGCCACTAATAACTATTAAATTAGTAATTTTTGGCTAATTCATTTTTAGAGAGTAGACTTATTGTATTGATAAATTAAGTTCATTACAGTAATAAACTGATTTATTATAACAATTACTAAAATTCATTGTATTGACAATGTCATTTGTTGCATCAGCTACAATAGTTCGTTAAGAGTATGAATATATACATTTGATCTATATTTAACGATTACAGTATCAACGAATAAAATTAATTGTAATAATTATTTTTATTCTTTCTAACTATTACTAATATTGATAAGACTAATGAAACAAATACATATAATTAATGACTAACAATTGTCGAATTATTATTTAAAAAATAAATAGTGTTCGTTACAACAATAACATATTTCATTGAATAAATAAAACTAAGATTTTCTTTTCAATGAATTGATTTTTATTAATAAAATTAATTATTTATTGGTTAATAAATTCTTTGATCAATTAATGAAATGTGTTTCATTGATTTGATAAAATCGTTCGTTGGACCAATTTCAATGTAGCATTTCATCTAGACAATGAACTTTTTTATTGTATTTACGCTACTTTTTGGTTCAGTGTACATACTGTATTTTATTAAGAAAAATACCTGCACTGTCAACTCCACGAAGGGATTGCTTTGATCTTAGCAATAGGCCGAGAAGCGATACATAAGATGCAATCTACCTCACCTTTTAAATAAATGTTGTACCCCAACACAAGCGAGATATATCTAAAATGTGCTTAAACTGTTGAGTGATCGCTAAAACTGTACAAACAATGTGCTATAAAAAGGTGTAAT